GCTGGGGCATTCTATGCTTACTGCCTCAGAGAAAGGACAATGTAACACAACATCAGCATCAATTCTTGGCTATGACTTGAGAGAACAGGCCTAGAGGAGACCAGATCAGAGATGAGGAAGAGCAAAGTTGCACAATTTATCCCCGCCCCACCCCCAACAACTTCCATAGGCTATGAAGGAGGGGAGGTGAAGTGCAAGAGAACAAGAGAGCTAGAATGTTAACACAGGGGTTTCCTAGGTAATGTGGCTCTGTGCCCCCCAAATTTCAGAGGGGTTTGAGGACTATGAGAGCATAAAAAACCTACGCTTCACTTCTCGGGTAGAAACAGGACAGGCAGAAGAAAAGGATTATCTAAGCTTCCTGTGGTATGGAAAGAGGGAGAATATTTCCCATGAGTTCAAAAGTAATGGTGACATGGAAAGAAAGGCTAGCAGACATGATTAGTCTTCAAGTCCCCCCTTTCTTCTGCCAACTCCAAGCTGCTATAAATTTCACTTCTACAATTTCCATTTAGTTCTTTTTCATACTTTTGGTTTCTCTATTAAGATTCTTTACCTGCACATTCACAATTTCCCTTAATTTTTTGAACATATCTCAAAGTTGGTTCCTCTTGACTGCTTTTTTTGTTTCTTTTTGACACTTTGGTTCACTTGTTACCACATTTATAAGAGAGGGACTTCCTTGTGTCGGTAATGTCAGAATTGGGTCAAGCAATGGCACTAAGAGATGAAAAGAGTCTAATGACAAAACAGTCACTTGAAGTGGGACAGGGCACCATCTCTGGAAATGTGAATAATATATGATGATTTCCAGGCTTCAAATATGTAGGAGAATTGCAAAACCCTTGTGAAAGTATGTAGTAGCACCTCCAGTCTTCTTGATCAGTCTCAAACAACCACAGGACCTCCCCACTCATTAAAGCATAGAACTGGAAGAGAGTTTAAAACATTAGCATCTAAATTCCTGCCTTTACCCAAGTAGAAAAGACGGTCTCCTCTCATGATTAATTTTTTTCTAAATAAAAAGCAGCTTCTTTTCATTCCCTAATATAAAGGTAATACATAATTAGAGGGAAAAAATCAGCCAAAAGAGACAGGCATAAAAAAGAAAGTACTCCACAGAGAAATTACAATTAATATTTTGCTAAACATCCTTCTAGATGCTTCTCTATGTAAATACTTATGCATATAATTTTTTGTGACTAGAATAGTATACATGATTTTAATTCAACAGGTAATAAGTATCATTATCAATAAATATAGACAAGCATCATCCTTTTTAATGACTGTATATTCTGTTGCATAAGTGTATAAAATGTATTAAACCAGTCCTGTATTGCGGGGGGCATTTGTTCTAGATTCTTGCAATAAGGAACATTCCTTCTGCTTTCTCTCTCTCTCCATGTACAATCTTTGTGTATTTATCAGATTATGTCTCCTTGGGGCAATACCTTTTATTATTTCTAGGCTGAAGCATATTCAAAAATTTTAATAATAAATTAACTATTTCTACCACTCATGCTCTCACCAACAGCGAGACCATTTCCATCTTTTTTTTTTTTAGTTTATTGGGGTGACATTGGTTAACAAAACCATACAGATTTCAAGTGTGTATCTCAACAGAACAACAACTGCACAATATATTGTGCGCTCATCTTGTAAAGTCTCTTTCTGTCCCCCTTTAATCCTCACTTTGCCCTCTTGCACCTACCTCCACCTCCTTTCCCTCTGGCTATCACCATACTGTTGTCTGTGTCTATGTTTTATACACACACACACACACACTCAGTTGTTGTTGTTGTTTAACCCCTTTATCTTTTTTTCACCCATCCCCCAATTCTCCTCCCCTCTGACACCCGTCAGTCTGGAAACTATTTCCATTTTTAGTCATACTGGGTATGTGCAACCTTTTCAAACTTTACCAAAATGTCAGTCACAGGATAACATTGAAATTGTTTTGAGCGATTAGCCAATGAGTTCAAATGCAGTACTGAGGATTGGGGATCTTGCCATGTGCTCCTTTCTGGCCTTAAAAGGACAGAGTAGGCAATATACAGGGGCCTGAGATGTAAATTAGATGGTCTGGCTTCCATACCCTGGCTTTACTGCACTAACTCTTTGTGTCCTTTCTGTACCTCAGTTTCCACAAATGTGAATGAAATGGGTGTTCTTGGAATAGGTATTCTCAAGCTTCCTTTCCGGGTCCTCTTAGGAGTTGAGAGTGGGTAATGCACTGTGCAGATCTGCAGCAGACACCATTGTGTGACTAACACAACAGCATTCCTTGCCTGCCTCTACTCTAGAAGAGGACGGAAGTGTTCAATAGCCCCCTTTGTAGCCTCTCTTAAAGCTAAGGGTTAGCCATCATACCTAGTTATAGCTAATAAGACGAAATACTACTGGGATGTTTTTGGAAAACCTTTTGCTCTCCCGATGAAGAAACAGGCACAAGAGAGAGTAAGCTCACAGGCGCTGTCTCTCCCTCACCCTCTGCCTTCAATGCAGACTTGGTGTCCGGACCTGCTGAGCAGTTGTGATGACTTTGTACGATGTCAAGTCAGCTAAGCAGGATCTGTTTTCCAGAATCCTGCATGATTCAGGTTACTGTCGGCCTCAGAGAAATGTTGCACAAGATCTGGAATACAGCAGTGAAGCTGTATATCATTGACCACACTGAAAACCAGCCACGGTTTTCCGGTTCTGAAGGACAATGCAGGGCTCCAGGCACGGTGGTAACTCTACTGGCTCACTTTGCTGGCGTGAGGCAGCACCCAGACTCCAGCTCCTGCCAGATCTCCTTCTTTAGTCCCTCCAAGTCCTAAGCCAAGTGCACATGCAGCTCCATGAAGGGTGCCAGTTTCTCCTGCATTATCAAGGTCGGAGGTAATGAGAGACACATGCAGATCCAGTCTGTCTTTGAGGATTCCAGTTGTTCATGAATTCCAGTTTGCCCCTGCAGGTTCCAAGTCTGTTCCTGCTCTCATCCAAGTCCAGCTTTCTATCTTGAGTGTCTTCTGGCTGATCTATGGTGACTTTAGACTCAACACTACAACCAAAGACAGCAAACAGCTTTGTGTAGACTCCTTCATCAGCTCCCACAATCACGTAAACACTGTCCGATAGAACATCTATGAAGATGAGAGTGTTTTATATATGAGCTGCCAATATGATAAATGCTAGGCACACGTAACTCTTGAGCACTTGACATGTACCTTGCACAACTGAGAAATAAAATTTTTATTCTTACTTAATTTTAATTCATTTACATTTAAATAGCTATGTGTGGCTCGTAGCTACCATATTGAAGGGCATAGGTCTAGTGTCTTATAATAAATTTCTCATTCTTTATCACTCAGTGGTTCTGTTTTCCTGGTTGAATCCTGACTGATAGAGGCAACAGCTGGTGGCTGGGTGGGCAGGAGCATGTGGACAGAAAGCCTGCATGGGGGGGTTAACAGGGCTGGAGACAAGGCTCCCGAGGAGGCTCGCCAACCTGCCACTGTTGAACTTCTTATATGAGAAAAAGAGAACACCCTTACTTTACCCTGGTGGGAACCCCATCCCCATTCCAATCCCCATTCCAGTCCCCAGGCCAGAATTAACAATGTGAGCTAAAATATTCATGGAGAGCAAGTAGGCTCTAGTAAGGTGTGTTCTTCAGCAAGCCATCTTTCCTTTGTTCCAACATGATGAATTTTTTTCCCCTGCCAGTTTCCTCTGCAGATCCTTTCACCTTTCTTTCTTCCTCCCTTCCTTATGTAAGACCTTCCTTATAGAAAATAATTACTCATGGTGTCTGTCAAAATGGATTTTTTTGTTTGTTTTAAACATCAGCCCATTTTCACAACTCCACAAGTATGACGATAGATCGTAAGCAACCATTTTTGTCAGCTTCAGTCTCTTAACCTGGCCACTTAACCAATAAACTTTACCAGGAATGGGTCTTACTGGTTAGGCCACAGTTAACTGTGAAAATACTAATGGCCGAACAACTTTTTCTTTCAAGGTTGAGCTTTCGGAGAGAACAATGTGCAGTAGTTAAAGTTGTGTCCATAAACAATGCCCCACAAATACAAGGATTTTTTTTCTCTCAAAAAAAAAAAAAGGTTGCTTAAACAAGTGGTTACCCGTTATGGTGTTGACATAGGAAAAGGTGAAATGCTGGAAACCAAATAAAAGCAATAGTGCAATAGGCAGCTCAGTGGCATGCATGGTTTGGTTCCTTGGATGGACATGCTTGCTTTCCACTTCCTCCCAATTTTGGTCCCGCCCTCTTAGTGTATCTTCCTGCGAATGTTAAAAAGAAGAAGATAAAGAACATAGTGGTCTTACTGCAAGCCGTCTTTGGTGTCTGTCGTTCCCTTCTTTTTAACATCTCACAGGACTGGATCTTCCTAACTTCTCTCTTGTTTGGCGAGTCACTTTGCTGTCCCCGTTGCTACCTTCCTTCCATCCGCCAGGGCTAAACGCTTCCTAGAGAAGGCCAGAGGACTGTGCAGCTTTGAGAACCCGAGCTCGAGGGAGCGGAGCAGGGAACACCGCTCCCGCTGGCAGCAAGCAGCTCCCGGACGCCAGCAGCCCACACGCCTCTGCCCAGCGCCGCGCCCGGCCAGCGCCCGGACCCTCTCCCTTCCCACTCCCCGCCGGCGCGCCCGTGGAGCTCGCGGAGCCCCTGGGCATCTCGTGGGCGCCCGCCGCAGGACACTGCGCCCACCACGGGCGGCGCGGAGGACAAGGCAGCAGCCCCCTAGGCACAGGGTGGGCGCGGGTCGGCGGAGCCTCGAGCGCCGGCCGAATGCTGCAGCCGAGCTGCCAGTCCAGGAGCTGCGGGAGACCCGGGCCGAGCCTGCCCTTGGGCGCGCCGGGGGCCGGAAGGGGGTTCTGGATTTCGATCCCTCCCCTTTTCTCTCTGGGTCCCGGAGCACTCCCGCTCTCAGACCCTCCATCTCCCAGGTACAAGCCGGGAGAGGAGGACACATCTCTGTTCCAGGCACCCCACCATGGACAATACCTCCAATGACTCCCGGTCCGAGGTTTGCGAGACTCGACAGTGGCTCCCCTCGGGCGAAAGCCCAGCCATCAGCTCCGTGATGTTCTCGGCCGGGGTGCTGGGGAACCTCATCGCGCTGGCGCTGTTGGCGCGCCGCTGGCGGGGCGACGCGGGGCGCGGAGCCAGCCGCAGGAACTCCATCTCCTTGTTCCACGTGCTGGTGACCGAGCTGGTGTTCACCGACCTGCTCGGGACCTGTCTCATCAGCCCCGTGGTGCTGGCTTCGTACGCGCGGAACCAGACCCTGGAGGCACTGGCGCCCGAGAGCCGCGCATGCACCTACTTCGCCTTCGCCATGACCTTCTTCAGCTTGGCCACGATGCTCATGCTCTTCGCCATGGCCCTGGAGCGCTACCTAGCCATCGGGCACCCCTACTTCTACCAGCGTCACGTCAAGCGCCGCAGCGGCCTGGCGGTGCTGCCAGCCATCTACGTGGTCTCCCTGCTCTTTTGCTCTCTGCCGCTGCTGAACACCGGGCAGTATGTCCAGTACTGCCCCGGGACGTGGTGCTTCCTCAAGCACGGGCCCACCATCTACCTGCAGCTTTACGCCACCCTGCTGCTGCTCCTCATCGTGGCGGTGCTCGCTTGCAACTTCAGTGTCATCGTCAACCTCATCCGCATGCACCGCCGGAGTAGGAGAAGCCGCTGCGGACCGTCAGTGGGCAGCGGCGGGGGCGGCCCTGCGACCCGCAGGAGAGGGGAAAGGGTGTCCATGGCGGAGGAGACAGACCACCTTATTCTCCTTGCTATTATGACCATCACCTTCGCCGTCTGCTCCTTGCCTTTCACAGTAAGTCACTCCGTTTCCACAGCCCAGTTCTGCGCAGCCTTCTCACACTCTTCTCTCACTTTTACCCTTTCCACTGCCACACAAACTTTCGCAACCCGTGAAAATGTGTGCTAACTTGTAAAGGTCTGTATGTAGACTTTCCCTGTGGCTTTTCACCTTTACCCGCTTCTTTACCCCCTAACCCTGGCGCGTGGGCCTCTCCACGATAGTATTTCTCAAACAGTACTACAGCCCCACAGCCAGGGAGCCTTGGCACTGTCAGCCAAGCTCTCCGTCCTGGAATCAAAGGCCTGTTGTTAGTGTTCCTGTCCTACTAGCCTTAGTTAGCATCTGAGGAGGCGGCGCCGCTTGCCCGTCTGGGTGGTTGGCGATTACAATCGGACTTCTCAGAGCTGCAGTTTGCTTCCTGGTACCCCCTGCCCACACGCTGGTTCTAGTTCTCCATAACTTTGCTGGCAGTTTCTCCCAGGGTTAAAATGTGGTACCCAATCATCCCAGCTGCCACTGAGAATGGGCCTGGATGAGAAGTGTCCTTGCAGCAGAGCTCCAGAACACTCATTATTTGTCCTAAAAGTTCAACAAACACCCAGTATACAGGCTTTCTAATTTACTTATTGGTTGTGTAACTCTTTGTGGCCACGAAATTAATAAAACAATACATCTGTAATGATAATTAGAGGAAAGGTTGGTGCTTGGAGGAACCCCTTGCTAAGCTTTTGAGATCCCTCAGAGAAGGCATTTGTACTCACAAAATACCTTCTTGCTGTCACTGTCAGAAATATACGCAGGTGCTCTTCAGCTTATGCTTGTGTGCTTTATGAGCACAAAACCACAATAGGAACGGCCAGTCCATTTCAGAGATGGGAGAGATAGGCATGGCCAGCCCTTGCCATGACCCAGCAGGCCAGAGCCTGTCTGGGGAACTGAAGGATGGGAGCCTTGGTACAGGGGTGGGTGCTATCCTGGTTTGGAGCAACTTCCCTAGTTAGTTCTGTGATGCTGTGAGTTTGAGCCTCCTAAGGTGTACAGGTCTGGGGATATGTCTGAGTGTGGACTGGCCTCTTACAGAGACATGGGAACTGGAAGTTTGGGCAGCTCCACTTCATAATCTTTAGGAAAACAAGACTGACCTTGCAGGAAGTAAGTAGTTGTCAGTGACTCTCACCTGCCACAACCTTGGAGGGAAAAAAAAGTAATGGGCAGTGCCTACCGTTAGCTGGTCTGACTTGTAGAAGCTGAGGACGTAACTTTATCTTCCCACTGTCATCACTGTTTTTGATTATCTTTATACGCTCATGCCCATCCTCAAGGGTAGGAAAGAACACAGGGTTCTAAAAGCGCAGATATGACCCTCTCCTGCCCCAAATTAACTCTTTAGCTATATTTTCTCCTCCCTGGTTCCCACTGTACCACACACTTCTACCCTACTTCTGTCAGGGCAGAAGCTGGTCTGAATCAGTAAGTTACACTTTTGGGGGGCGGGGCGTGGAATGAGATGGAGTGTGTAAAATGTACCATGTTATTACATGAAGGAGGATTTTGGGAGACTGCAACTCCCATTCCACCCATGGCCAGGAAGTTTCTGCTCTGGAAATGCTATGATGTAGAAACCAACATGGCTTCTATGGGTTTGTTTCGTTTTACTGACAGAACCTTTAGATTATGTTAGAAGCTAAATCAGCTGTTGGGGGTTGGGATGCAGAGTAAGTATCTATGAAAGAAAGCATTTCAGTTTCCGCTGAACAACTTAGAATTCAACTTAGGAGTCATAAAGCATCTCTGAACTGGGCAGTGCCTGTCTTGGACAGGTGGGCCTTAGGATATCAGTTTTTAGAATTATTTGTGAGTATGTATAGAAAAATATCCATGACCCGCAGCTACTTAAATAGCCTAGGAATGAGCTCAGACCAGGAACCTGTGAAATAGATTGTTATTTCTTTTCCTAAGCCCTTTAGAGAAAAAAAGCAGGAGAAAAAATGTCTCCCCTTTCAGCATGACTGATCTACTGTATAATCTGTATTTTTAAAAGTAAAGGCAGTGATTTTCAATAGGTTCCCCTCTCGTTAAGTACATTTGCCTTTTATCATGAGGCCTCCATCGTTGCCATATGTTTTCAAATATATGTATATTTTATATATTTGAATATACATGAGCACACACGCAATTACATATGTTTTTCCTGTTTCCCCCCCTTCATTTAATATTAAGCCAGGGGCAGATCCAGAGTTGCTTCACGGATGAGGCTTAGAGCTAGAAGTCTGGTGGAAGGAGGGGGGAGTAGGAGGATTGCTTTGAACCTGTGTTTTTATTAAAAGTGCCTGTTTGTGGCATGGGAGGGGCTAGGTGAAGATTCTTTTGTCAGGAGATTCTTGGTACTTGTTAGTGCCTTCATTTACACAGTACTTTAAACCCTATGAAATGCTGCACTATCCCAATTTAAGTTATTTCTTGGAGGGCTTATCTGATCATTCCAACTCATGGCCACTATTTGATGCATACATTCTGCTATTTCAAAATGCTTGTCATGCGCCCTGTGGGGCTCTTCCCCCCATGTCTTCTTAGTTTATTGGCCCACACTAACCCTGTGGTCAGAAATTGCCTTCACCAATCTCCCACCTGAGGCGGGGACCATCTTCACGCCTCCTAACCGGGGACACTGTTAGACACGGCAAAGGTTTGTGGTTGCCTGCAGATGTTTTCCTGCTCCTTTCACAGAGCACATGTAGACCCACAGAAATACAGTGTGAGCTACAAATGTGAGCCACGTATAGTATTTAAAATTTTCTAGAATCACACAACAAAAATTGAAAAGAAACATTCATTTTAATCCATACATTTTAACTCAATTTATACAAACTATTATCAATTTAAAATGTAAGCAAGGTACAAAAAAAGTTGTTAATGAACTATTCCAACTAATTTTTTTCCTTGCACCCCAGAAAATACCAGCAACTTATGCTGTCTCTGCCCATTCCTGCCAGAGCTGCTCCCTATGTCCCTTAAAAGTGGCCCAGCAAGGAAGAGAGTGCCCAGTGGGACTCCAGCTTATTCCAGCAGTTCCAGGAGTGGGGGAAGGAGGAGAGTGGGGATTTAGGAAACCTGAAACTACTAACTTTGTTGTCCCAGGGTGTGGGCAGGTTAGAATTACTACTTCCTCCAAGAATCCCAGTCCATGACTTCCAAAGTTCGGGAAGTGAATCTATCAAAATGTAAAATACCCACAGCCCTGTAATGAAATCAAGTTCAACCTCAAATATCATTATTATCATCAGCATCAAAATGGTTAGCATTTCTGAGTGCTAATTTTTACATGTACTAACCCATTGCCTTCACAACAACAACCTGTAAAACAGACAGTATTATTGTTCCCATTCTACAAATGAGGCAAATAGCTTACCCTGGGTCCTGCAGTTGGTGAATGCTGGAGCCAGGATTCAAAGCCAGGCAGTTTAAACACAGACCTTATACATTTAACCACTATAATATCGGAGAGAAAGTGCTTATTGCAGGGTAACATAGGAGAAAATTGATCTAAGATTTCAAAGAGAATTATGAAGACGTTATAAATATCTGGATCACTTTGCCTTTTAATTCCAATTTGTGAGCTTTAAAAATAAAATTGCAAAGACCTTTTACTCCATATCAGATCAAGGGGCCTGAGCTGGGGCAAAGTGTGTAGTTCGTTTTTACTTCCCCATAGATCTGTGAATTAAAAAGCCAAGACTGAGATTTAAGGAGATTGGCTAATATAAATGCTGCTGTAAATTAAGAAATAATCAGACTACCCCTCATGTAAAATCTTCCATTGTTACCACAAAGCATTTCTTAAGTGATAAAAAATAAAAAGGCCTGAGTTGTTTAAGAAATGACATTATTTTGGCTGTCCAATATGAAATCATGAACGGGATCAACAACATATTCTAAACTGTTTATGCACTAAGGGGACATTGTATAAATTAATAAATTCCTCCTTAAGTTAATCAGCTGTTGTCATCCTTTCACAGAGATAAATAGAAACTTTCTTCATGAAACGGAACACAACACAGGAAATATGTCAGACTCCGTTCTTGCCTCAGATACTGTTTGCATCTTCATTCCCAACCACATTAAGTCACTTTCTCACTACTTTACTAATAATAGCGGGTAACTTCTGGTCATTTTAAACTGTTTTCCACATGCCATTTGGATAAAGTACTTATGCATTTTATTCACTTCTAAAATTTCAAGAACTAACCATCGACTCATTCTAAAAATTTCTTCATGTTTAGAAATTCTTTAGAGCTATAATTTCCAGGTAAACCTGATTAGTGGAAATCTGATCTTTGCAATACAGAACAAACTCAAGTAAATAGTACTGGAGTTTCCTGTTCATTCCTGGTACTCTTTATGACATGAATGGGGGTTGTATAACTGATATGAAATTGACCAATTACGTGCATAGAAAATATCACAATTCTACTAGGGATGAAATAGCAATCTAGAAATCTCTATGCATAATCGTAATGAACTTTGCTTGGTGATGTTTTAATATCCAGGTACTACTGGAAAGTCCTTTATCATTTAGGCATCATTAATGATGTGTTTGGGGATTGTTGAAATAATGTTAATACATTTTTTTTCCATTTTATTGAATTTATTGGGGTGATGCTGGTTAACAAAATTATACAGGTTTCAAGTGCACAATTCCACAACGCATTCTCTTTACACAATACTTTTTAAGAGAAGAAAGTTTTCCCATACGAGTGTTTCACTTGACATCCTTTTCTTTGCCCTTTGATATTATGAAATGGTGGTTGTGAATAACGGCACAATCACACTGAGTCTTTAAAATTTAAACAGCAAGAACCATAGTGCTTTTCCTGAAAGAGAAGTTATGTATAATGTCTCCACCTTTGGTCAAGTTGATCATCACTCCTGTTTCTGATGATTATGACCTCAGCTTAAAGGAAAACAGCTTAGGGTTCGTATATATCTTTTTTGGCATTGCAAGAGGCCAGCAC